CTGGCGCAATATGGTTCATGGGGTCACGAAGAGTCGGACACGACTTAACGACTAAACAACAACAACAACTTCTGACTCAAGACCTGCCAAAACAGACATGTTTTTATAGTTTCTGGAAGACCACAGAGTAGGAATTTCACTGGCCTTGGGTGGGGGGCAAGCTGTTCCACCAGAGTGACCACCCACATGGAATGACTGGGTTTCAGGATCCTTTGATTGTACTTCTCAGTAGGTGGGGACATTCAGCAGGCATTCCCTGTTCACTCAAACTGGGCAGGCAGAATCTGTCCAGATAGCTGGTCTCAGAAACACTAAGCCCCTAAGCCATATAGCACTTTTTAGGTAATAACAAGCATCTTGAATTGCACTTGGAAACAAAGCATTAACCTAATCCAGTTTCTGCCACAAAAGTTTTATATGACAGTAATGAGACTGTCCACTACATAGCATATAGGCCACTCTATTTTGCACCACCTGAAGTTTTCAGGTGGTCTTCCAGGACAACCTGATGAAAGGAAATTACAATAATCCAAATGGGAGATGAAAAGGACATGAGTATCTTCAGTGCCCATTGTTCTAGATATGACTGCAGCTGGAGCACCCACTACACTAAACAAAGTCTCTCCTGTTTGGTTTCCACATGGTTTCCAGCAGGAACTGGAGTCCAGGAGGACCCCCAAATTGCAAGCCTCTACAGTGGGATCAAAAACAGTTCAGAATCAGAAGGCTTCAGAATGAATAGATACTTAGTCTTGCTTGGGTTGAGTCTGAGCTGATTTCTCCCCAGCCAGGCCCTCATAGTCTCCAGATACATGTTCAGAACTTCTACTACATCCCCCAAATAACTGGGTATCATTCACGTATATTAAGCAGGATAAGGGGACAGATATGCATGACAGTATCAAAAGCTATGAAGAGGTCCAGCAGGATGAAAATGGTCATGCTCCCTCCCTCTCTCCAGGTCCTGCCAAAAGTCACCTTTGAGGCTAACCGGTATGGTTTCAACCCCCTATCCAGGCCTGAATCCTGACTGCCAAGGGTCCAAATAATCTCCTTGTTCCAGAGTATAATTATCTCCCCTCCACAACTTTCCACTAAGGAGAGATTGGATATGAAGTGATAGTTGTCTGGAAGTAGTATATCCAGGGCAGATCTCTTAAGGAAGGGGTGAACCATTACCTCTTTCAAGATAGCTGGCACTTCCCCCTCCAAGAAAGAGGTATTGACTCTAACATGGATTACCTCCCTGCCTGCTTTAATTAATCAGGATTAATTAAAGTTCAAGTTCACAAGTGGCAGAGCTAAGATCACAGAGAACTTGTCCATGTAGATATTTTATCTTAATGAATTTCTGAATTCTCAACTTTTTTTTTCTTACGCCCACTTTTTTTTACAATTTTTTCTTCATATTTCTAGTATGAGTTGTCATATTATATTCCATATTTTTCTTTAAACTGAAGGCAATTAAGATATTATTGGAAATAACAAGTCTACACTTCATCAAACAGTACTGCACTCCCTGCAGGACAGAACTACATCTGAAGTGGTGCTTTTATTCATTCATGAATATGTTTCTGTTTTGCTTCCAGAGAGCTGGTGGCTTGTTTGGAAATCATGTCAGCTATTACCAAAGTGATGGCAGAAGCTCATTCCCTCAGACATTCACCACTCAGCGCCCTTTGCACATCAACAAATCTAGTAACAACCAGGGAGACACTGAATCCCCATCCCATGAGAAGCTTGTAGATTCCACCTTCACTCCAAGTAGTTACTCCTCATCAGGCTCCAATGCTAACATCAATAATGCCAATAATACTGCCCTGAGCCGCTTTTCCAGTCCGCCAAGCTATCCCAACACCGTCAGCACCGTGGACGGCCACAGCACCCCTTCATCCACCACTGTACGGATTCAGGAAGTTCCTTGGAAACTCAGCTGCAGAAGGTAAAGATTGTTGACAGCAGCAATATTTCTATCATTTACCAGTTTAACAGACCATTGCAATTGTACATGGAACATTACAGAGGAAATATATAGGAACCTAAGTATCAGAAATTTGAGCCATTATAAATACGTACATCCACCCCCACCCCCAGAAGTTGATGACAATGGCTGTTCCATACATTTCAAAATATATTACAGTCATATTAATTTTAAATGGTTATATATTTTAAAATAAACAGAAAATAAATTATTAAATTAAATATTAATGAAGAAATCATTAGGAATAATGTTACGAATTAGGAATCCTCCAACAAAAACATGTTGTAACTTAATGGTTGAAAACATGAATTGAGATAGTGTTTAGTGCTAACCCATCAAAGTTCCTTTCCACCTGCTCATTTGTAAATAAGGCTATTGGCTTATTTGAGACATATATGAATACTCTGAGTACTCCAAATACATTACAAAATAATGTGTGTTTTATTATTTGTTATCATCATTATCTGAGAAAACCTTAAGCAAAATCACTAGATAAGAGTTCTGATAATAGAACCCAAGAATATAAGTTGAGATACTCAAGGAAATTGTCCTAATGGTTTCTCGGTATTAATTTACTTACTTGCTTACTTACTACTTACTTACTAGGTTTCCAGTTTCTCCAACTACAAAAACAACTCTGAGTGGACCGTCTGCACTGGGGAGTTCCAAGGCTCAAACTTATATTAGTTCTGCTACATTTTGGGGCAGGAAGTTAATGCCTGTAACATAACAAATATTATGGCTTCATAATATAAGAAGAGCTTTGATGGATGTCAATCTTAATATAGCATTATGTTTCCAATAAAGGCTGATCAGATGGTTCCCAAAGCCTTAGAAGCATATGAAAGAATGCATTAGCTCTTGCACACTGTTTATCAGCAGAATTGATTAGAGATATATTGCCTCTGACTATTAAACATTTATGGGTAAGAGTTACCACAAATTTTCCTAAAAATTATTTAAAGATACCTATTGTGAATGGCAGGCTACAAGGTGCAGACATAGAATCCACAGCCACAAATAAGGTACCGTGTACGGAGTTAGATTACCCCAGGTCCTCCCATTGCTGGAGAAGAAGCTCTAAACTGAAGCTGTGAAAAGCATGAGGCTGACAGATTAAAGCTGGAAATTTCCAGGAAAATG